TAATATCTCTTGACAAATAAAAGACAGGCTTGACTGGATGAAGTGTATGTGGCTGACCCTCCTCCGCTGGCAATCTTCTCAGAGAAGAATCACCATAATGTACAACTTTCATATTCTTTCAATAGCTATCTACAGAGGTTATTGAGATATAATCCTAGGTAATCTGATTCAGTAAGACTGGATGGAGCCTGAGAATGAAAATTTCTATTAAGTTTCCTAGTGATGCTGACTGATGTTGCGGGTCTGGGGATCATATTTTGAGAACCACGGATAGACTTGCTGCGTTTATTAACTGCTAAAAGCAAGGTACTGTGGGGTAATTTGCATAACTATGGAAATATATGATACCATCCATGTCCTTGAAGAACACCTAGTTTCGATGGAGAAGTAAGACACAGGCTAAAGAATGGATGAGGAGGTCTATAGGGTTGACGGAATGCACAGGAAGGCCCGGTGTAGTTTAGATCTGGCGGAGGTGAGCTGTGGCAAGTTGAATATTCAGGCATACTTATAGGACTATTTTGTATTCATAGGAAATGTTATACTTTATGTAGCCTTGTAAAATGTTTAAAGTATATGAGGATTAATACTGCAGAAAGTTTTTCTCTCTGTATGAAAAAACAAAGCAAAACAGGAAACCACAGAGCACTGAAGACAGACACCGCATCAGATGCCATTTAGAAAAATCCACGTCAGTCTCTGATTAAGGCTAACAAAGTGCTGTCATCTTCAATGAACAAGGAAAACCATTAATAATATTCGAATGTTACAAGTTTATAATTAGAAGGGTAGACATGTAATTATGCCAAGCTTATCTGAAGTGATTAACATAGTACCTGAGGAGCACATTTTTTGTTGTTGTTTCCAAATTATAGTTTCAGAAACAAAAGGAGCACAATATTCAAAGTAAACAAAAATCATTATACCTGAAGATTTAATTATTTAAAAACTGACAATTTTATCCTTTTATGGAACACATAAAGAGAGTTTCTTCTGTGCATGAACTATAGAAAGTATATGCACTGCCTAAATATCTGTAATAAAGATAATCCCTGCTCCGAATTAAGGTACATGCAATTCACAACTCCTTTGGGTAAACAAAGGTTTCTCAAAGAAAACTACAAAAATGTATGGACTTGTAAAATTGTACTCTAATATACCATTACAGATAATTGTTTACAAAGGGACACACCACATTTCCACAATAATTGTATAAACGAGACTCTCTCAGTTCGCCTTTGATAAATCTATGTCCAAACAGGCATTCGCTGCAATCATCGTTAAGGGCAGTAATTAAGCACTGACTCAAAAGCAGTTGGTGGGTTTGTTGGGTGGTGGTAGTAGGTATTAGGAAGAAAAGGTGTTATTTGATGAACATGTATTCAAAAGTGTGTTTAGCAGTTATCCCTGCTTTGATCAGCTGAGTAAACCACTCACCACAGAGAAGGTGTCAAAGTGGGAGGTGGTGTGTAGATGACATGAGCACATACACACCACAGGATTCGGGGGTGGGGGGGTGGGGGTGTTTCATGCTTAAAGAATAAAAATAACGTGTCATGAATTCTGAAAATAATAAAGCTTCTTCCAAAAAAACATTATGTTAAGGCTGTAAAATTTCCACCAAAAAATTACAAATTGCTGTCACAGTCTTTCCCAACATGCATGAGGATAAAAGAAATGGGAGAGAATGGATTTCTGCACCTCTGATTAAACTGCACCAACAACACAGTGGTAGTTTCTACTAACCATTCCCCCTCAGAGCAAGTGAGAGGAAAATATTGATATATTTTAAAACAAAGAAACTTCTGTGTGCTGACAAATACCCAGAGAAATAAGAGGGCTAAAGGAATAGGGAAAAATAAAGAAAATAGACTATGAACATTCCCACAAAAGTATTTTATTCTATTTGGCTTTTTACTTTCAATTACATAACCACTATAATTAAATGAAAATAAAATATCACTCCACACAAATTATGCAATTCATGACCCACAGGCCCTGGTAATAATGATCGGATTTTCAGACGATTAGACTTCCAGTGGAGTGTTGGGCAAGATAAACACTTAACAGGCTTGGCTGTTCACCAAAGGGTTGACAGTTCAAGTCTACCCGGGGCACTTCAAAAGAAAGGCCTAGAAATCTATTTGTGAAAAAATAGCCACAGAAAGCCTTAGAGAGTTGAGTTCTAGTTGACAACACCTAAGATTACACTGATTCTGAATTGATTTGGATGGCAACAGACGATAGATTCAGACTTGGGGCAAAGATAAATGGCTACATATTGGCTGCTCACTATTTTCCAATCCCCAAGTGCATCATATGCATGGTTGGTATTCACCATAGTAACACAATGAGGCAATACCGATGAGGAAACTGAGGCATAGGGAGACTATAAAGAGACCCTCTATGTGGCAAGCATTATGCTGGGTGCAGAACAGAAAAATACCTAAGAGATCCCACCCAAAGGGAAGTCAAAGATAAGTGGAAAGAAACATAACTACAATGGCTGGCAATGCACTTGTGCAGCGGTTCTCAACCAGTGGGTCACCACCCCTTTGGGGGTCTAACAACCATTTCACAGGGGTCGCCTAATAGATCCTGCATATCAGATATTTTTATTACAATTCATAACAGTCACAAACTTACAGAGATGCAGTAGCAATGAAAATAATTGTATGGTTGGGGGGTCCCCACAACATGAGGAACTGTATGAAAGGGTCATGGCATTAGGAAGGTTGAGAACCATTGCTCTAGTGCTATCATACATAAAAAGATGTATGTCACGTGGGAACCCCATGGATGCCTTGATGACACTGATGGTTTTTTACTCACCTTTGCCAAAGGCAGATGAGTTACAAGGTTAAAAATTATGCAGTTAAATTAGATTGTGTCCAGGGAACACAGAAGTGTTTCATCGGAGAAGAAATATAGAGCTTTAACTATGCTAACATTAATAAATAAATCTTTGGGTAATTTGAAAAGTGAAAGATCTTGACATGGAATGTATTGAGAAATGAACTTATGCCTATGTTATAACTAATGGGTCTTAATCCATTTACCCAAAATAAGAGCAACTAAATTTTAAAGACTTTAAAAAGTACAGGAAATCAGAACGACTTCATATACAAAAACATTGAAAAGGGTGTCCATAAGTCATTTTTGAAGATGGCAGTGAAAGGAATAGAAGATAGAAAATATAATGATAGTTTTTATTTTAAGGGAAAATATTTTCAAGAAACTAACTTGTACATGGCAATACTCATTCCAACTAACAGTCACCCTGTAAGATGGAGGAGAACTACTCCATTGAGTTTTCCTGGCTGGAATCTTCAAGGAAACAGACTGCCGCATCTTTCTCCTGCAGAACAGCTCATAGATTTAAACCTTTGACCTTTGATTTGGCAGCCCGGTACTTAAAGGTGTGCCAAACCAAAACATCCCACTTAACAATGGTGTGAATATAAAAAAAGATGAAGGTGTTTGGAAACAAGAACTTTTGTCTACTTCTGGTGTGAATAAGAATTTACATAGCATCCCAGGAAGACAATTTTGAAGCATATTAAAAACCCAGAAAGCCTCCTCCTGGGAATTTCTCATTTCTGAGAAAATTTCCTTAAGAAAAGATGTGCACTACAATGTAAAGACTTTTCTACAAGTCTCATAATGGTGTGTAGTTTATAAGGGTAAATTATTCAAAACCATTATGTACCAGTGGACGTGCCAGTTGAAGAGCAAGTAATGCTGAAGTTCTTTGGGGCAGGAGTCTGGCTTGTGGAGTGCGGTGTC